GCTGTGGAATTCTGGGAGTTGTAGTCCACAAGTCCTAAAGTTGCATGCGCTGGCATGTGGTGGTTGAGGAATTCTGGGGGTTGAAGTCCACAAGTCATAAAGTTGCATGCACTGGCATGTGGTGGCTGAGGAATTCTGGGAGTTGTAGTCCCACAAGTCATAAAGTAGCATGTGCTGGCATGTGGTGGCTGAGGAATTCTGGGAGTTGAAGTCCACAAGTGGTAAAGTTGCAAAGGTTGGAGACCCCTGCCTTAGGACACAGAGGGGCATTTTCCTTGCCACAGGTTGGGTGAGGCTTTTACATCCTTCGTGACTTTCCTGATCCTTCACCAGTGCATTTTTTTCTCCCTCTCTGTTGTAATTTTGCACGTCTCTTGATGTGTCACGTCTCCGAGATGCCGTAATGATCTCCAGATGTTGGAGGCCCGTTCCTAGGGAGCTCACAGCAAGACTTGGGGTGGCCAGGAAGTTTCTGGCAACTGGTTTCAAGCAGGCATGTGGGGAGGGGGCCGTGTGTGTGTGTGTGTGTGTGCATGCAAATAGGAGCCATATGTGGAAAAAGCACAATGCCCTGGTGCCAATCTTGCCTGGAGTTCTAGTGGACAATCCCTATGACCCAACCCTGAGCTGCAGCAGCCCAAAATGCCAAGTTTGAAGCTGCATTAACAGAGCGACGGAATCAAGATCACATGAAGTGTTAATAATACCATTTTATAATGCCTTGGTAGGGCCACACTTGGAACACTGCATCCAGTTTTGGTCACCACGATGTAAAAAAAAAAAAGATGTTGAGATTCTGGAAAGAGTGCGGAGAAGAGCAACCAAGATGATATGTAAACGATTGGAGGCTAAAACATGTGAAAAATGGCTGCAAGAATTGAGTATGTCTAATTTAATGAGAAGAAGGACTAGGGGGTGGCGTGATAGCAGTCTTCCAATATTTGAAGGGCTGCCCCAAAGAAGATAATAAGTCAACTTATTCTCCAAAGCACCTGAAGGCAGGACAAGAAGCAGGAGATGGAAACACATCAAGGAGAAAAAGCAGCTTAGAACTAAGAAGAAATTTATTAACAGTGAAAACAATTAACCAGTGGAACAGCTTGTCACCGGAAGTTCTGAGTGCTCCAACACTGGAGGTTTTTAAGAAGAGACTGGACAGGATATTTTTTTTCTTCATTATTCTATAAGAAACCAAACCAAAAAACCCCTTTCATTCTCCTTTAAAGCAAAAAGTTGTGAATGCTCCAACACCGGAGGTTTTTAAGAAGAAATTGGACAACTATTTGTCTGAAATGGTAGAGGGTTTCCTGCCTGGCAAGGGGGTTGGACTAGAAGACCTCCAAGGGTCCCTTCCAGCCCTGTTATCTATTAGGTTATTCTCCAAAGCACCAGAAGGCAGAATAAGAAGCAACAGATGGAAACCAATCCAGGAGGGAAGCAACCTGGAACGAAGGAGGAATTATCCTGACAATGGAGAACAGTGAACCAGTGGAACTGCTGGCCTCCAGAAGTTGTGGGTGCAATGGAGGTTTTTAAGAAGAGATTTGTCTGGAATGGTCTAGGCTAGGGGTTGTCCTGCTTCAGCAGGGGGTTGCTTCCAACTTCTGAGTTAAGAGGTCCTTTCCAACTCTGTTAATTCTGTATTCTGGATGGCACTATTTTGGGATGGAAGTGATTGAGAATAGATTTTTCTCCAGAAATACAATCTATTTTCTGCAAGGAGAGAGGATGACTAATTTTTTCCCCAGCTAAGAAATGAGAAGGGTGTCGGGTGTGACCCAAAAACTGTTCAAAATTCAAATTTGGTGCCTGTGGTTTGCCACCGGATGATCTCTCAGTCTCTTTGCTAGCTGCCTA